GCCAACAGAAACCAAGCAAACAGGCAAAAAAAGCCTAGTCTTAACAAAGAGGGCTAGAACTCTGTCAAAGTAGCAAAATGGGTTTGAAAGGGAATGGATTGTCACCCATGAAGAGAGTGTTTCAGTGCTTTACGTGACAGGAGTTGGATTTTTGTTACATGAGTCACTGAAACCACAGCTGCTATCGAAATACAGAGCAAGCTAGGGATGAAAGAGACAAGGAGTGAAGAGAGAGGAACGAGTATAGGAAGAAAACCTCAGTAGCAGAGGCAGGTAGAAGACAGAAAGGCTGTGAAAGCAACAAGGGAACGAACACAGAAAGTCAGTTGTACAGAGTGTCTCTGTTTCCAGTGCAGACCTATCTTTTCCCATTCACTTTCTCCCAAAGCCTAAGCTAAAAATGCAGAAACCCGAAATTTCTCAGGCTATACAGAAAGGAAAGGCAGACAACAATCACACAGATGGCATGTTTGTTTTGTGCAACTTTGTGTTCAGCACAAGGATTAGTGCATTAAAAATACATAGACTTGAGAGAGATGGTTTCACAGGAGAAGGAAGTGCCTCAGGGTTAAGGCAAAGGGAATGTTGCTATTTACTGCAATGAAAAGAAGACCAAGTCCATATCTCACTGTCTTAAAATGTTACAAAACAGCAGGCTCTAATCAGTGACTGAAGCCTCCAGGCTTGTCCTGAAGCTGCTTGTTCACTGTCTCCTGTTATTTTCTATGGGGGACTCTGAGGGTCTTTGCAAAGTCAAGGCAGAGTTTTTGCAAGGTCAGAGCAGGGTCTTTGCAAAGTGCATCCTTTCGTGGTGTCAGTTCTGGTGCCTGGAGTGAATCACTTCACTTTCTCTCTCCTTTCTTAACCTGGGTGCTCGACTTGCCCTTTGCTTCTCAAACCTGTGACACCACTGGAGCTAGGTCAATGTCGGACAGACTTCCTAAGAACAGCAGATGAAATACTGAGGACTGTGAGGTTGATACAAGCCACCTGCCCAGCCTCCTTTTACATTTTCGTGTCTGTCTCCAGCCCTGTTTCTTCCTTTTAGCACCTGTTGTATTGAAATGCATTCAGAGTTTTAACTTCTTTCATGATATTTGGCCGTGACAGTGCCACACACAGGTGCCACAAACCAGTACTTTCTCCATAAATATATTTCTCTAGCATCCCTTCAATACGTGACCCTTTCATAAGCTTAAGTGCTTGTTTTCAAACCCATTCCCCTTCCCCATCTTGCAGCATACAGCTTCTTGGTCTAACTCAAAAATGCACATATCCATCTCCTCCTAATAGATGTAAACCTAATGCTCTGAACCTCCTCTCCTGCCTCTGATCCTTCTCACAGTCTCTCACCCTTGCTACCCTTCACGGCTTCCTTGCTCTGTGTTGATGAACATTTGCTCTCAAGGGAAAGAAGACCTTATTTACAGATGCGTGAAACACCAGGGAAGTTTTGAAGAATCAGTGAGCCAAACTTTCATCCCTGTCCAGAGGAAATGGGATGTCGTCTCATTTTCTGAAATAAGAGAGGCAGCCTCTTTGAGGCCCCCAGATGGACTTACAGGTGTAAAAGCCTATCACACATTTTGCACTCAATGCTAGGAGTGGAAGCTTGCTGAAAAACCAATCTAATCCATCATCACCTGCATTTTCAAGTCTTGTTTTACTGGATGTATAAGACCAAAGGGAACTGAGAACTAAGAGGAGCAACAACACACACGATTGTCATGCTTCCAGCATAGCTGATCCGTGTTTACGTATCTCCAGGTCCAAAGACCAATATCTAGACCAGCTCAAGAGTGGGCTAACAAGCTGTCATGTAGACAACATCAAAGCAGTGATTGTCTGTATTGCTTGGTGTAGGATCAGTTCTTTCTTGCCTGTAGGACAGGAGAGCATTCTTACCTAGTATTTAAATACGAGTCCAGATACTACAAAAGGCAAAGGAAGGAAAGGGTTAGTGAAATGGCCTATTTTATTTTTCAGTAGTGCTCTTCAAACATCCCTAAGGATTTCTTACCTCCCATTAAAATTTTACCTGAAAATGCTGATTGTAAGGAATCCAGTAGTGGTACAGGCAAAGAAAAGCAGACTGTTAAATACTTTTGCTGCAATAAATCTCCAGGCACTTGAAAGCCGGTAGGGCATGGGGAGGAGAAAGGGTGGATGAAACAGGGGCTGCATATTTTAATAAGATGATTAAAAATTCTGTATCGGGACTCAGCAAATACAAGATATATAAATATAATTTTTACAATGTTTTATTTCTTCGTTCTTGCAAGTTGTACTTTTGTCTACTGTTTCTGTCTACATGAAAACAAAAAACATCCCCGATTCCTGCAGAGCCCTGCTTACTCTGCCCTCTTCTTTCCCTCTAAGCTTGTTGAATAAACTGCTCAGCTGAATAACTAGAGATATTCCCCTCCCCTTTTCTCCCAATCTAGCAGTCTTTCCCTCTCCAGCATTTTTTTTAGTGCTCTTTTTCATTCTCTCTGCTGATTCCATTTGCTTATGAAGATGAGGGGTCCAAAGCCACATAAGAATCAGATCTGCCCACATTCCTGCATTCAAGGCTGAGTGTTTGCTTTCTTTTTTTCTTTCTTTTCATTGAAAAGGAGTATCGACTTAAAAGAAGTAGAAATGAGTCTGAGCAGATAGAAATGAGTCTGAGCGGAGTATGTGCCCACAAACCTAAAACAGTTTTAGGGAGGCTTGGGGAAATCTGTGAAATAGAAGTCGTAGATGCGAAACAGATATCCCCATTCCAAAGCATTTGGATGCATGTGGAAGGAAGCAAGTAGAGCTCACAGAGGTCTGACCCCGAAACAAATGTGTTTGATAGCTCTTCTCTTCTTAGCCAGAAATTGAGATATGTGCTTCGCCTGGCTATTTGTTTGGGCCTGTCTCTAAGGCTTCAGTCAGTTTAGGTGAATGATGCCCTTCCAGAAACTGACAGCCATTTGCTTCTGGCAGTGATGTAACCGAATGCACAGACAGAACCAGGGCCAGCAGTAAGTTAACCACAAAGCAGCAAGTAGAGGAAGACATGGAATGAATTACATAAATAAGATTGGGATCCTTCAATGTATAGGCCAGCCATCTGATTTTTCTCAATGCCTGTTAACATGCAGAAGAAAGCAGCTACCTGGTTAGCACAGGGCAGGGGAAAAAAGAGTAACACATTCAGTTTTGCAAGGCACAAATACTATATATTTCCTCTTTCTTTGTATAAGAGCAGTTGATGTCTATCTAGCATTTTCCATTAGAGAACTAGAAAGCACTCAACAAGCTCTTCAGGAAAGTTACTGTGCACAGAAAGTACTTGCCTGCTGTAGTAACTGGTTTGCTTATGTTTTTAATGAAAGGGAAGGGAAATACAGTGTTACCAAGCCACCAGTGCCCACCAACTGTGGATAAATGGTAATCTGTGCTACAGAGAAACCTCTTTGCTCGTGGCTGAATGTTCCCATCTCAGCGACAAAGGGTTCTGCTCTTCACAGCATACCACAGCATTAGAAGACAGATACAAGGAGCCCATTTCCTTCCGGAAGCTGGAGAATTAAATTACTTAGGTGGGATGTAAATTCTTTGAATTTGTTAGAACAACGGAGCCAACAGTCCAATATTGAGAAAAGCATCATGGAGTTTCAATGATCACGAACAGGCATCGCCTCCATGGTGTATGTTAGAAAAAAAAAGACTGTAAATATCCATGTTCAGAGAATTTAGTATGACCCCTTCTATGTCTGCTCAGGATTAATCCTCCAAATGAAGAAACTTCAAAGGGACTAGAAATGCCCCAAAAAGGCTACCTTTCCAGTAGTAGCTGGTCCCTTTCCTTCTGTAGCACCCCAGAGCCTTTCCTCAGGTATGGCCTTCCGCACATCCTCTGACACAAGACTAGATTATCAGCATACAGCCCTGCTGCCGGGAGTTCCAAATGGCGTGGAATATTGTATTCACATGCACAGTGCCCAACCCATGTTAATAACTGCAACATGCTCTAGTGGCTGGCATAATGAGATACCTGTTCTGCCAGCACACAACCCTACACTCCTCTCTGGCTCCTGACTCCACCGGAGCAAACGTCAGGGGCATAGAGGCTGTGTTGTAGAGAGAATGTAAATTCAGGACAATGAGGAAGTAGCTCTTGACCCTAGTAGGTCCCAGAAATAGATGCATAACAGCCTGTTTCCACAATGCATCCAGCATCTTCATTTCCAGGTACCTGTTGTAAGAAGGATCTGAAAGTGCTTAGAAGCTTGCAAGTACAAGCCACAAACCACGCATGCAGATGGCAATACTCATGTCGGATGTAGCTCATGTTTCAGATGCTGTTTCCCTTAGAGCACTGACCTAGTGACTGTAAAGTGAGCAAGGAGACTCTCAGAAAGAAAGTAAACACAAGCAAAGAAAGCCTAATGCCTGGTGGAGCCAAAGAGCTTAGCACGGCTGCAAAGCAAAGCCTCAACTGGCCACCACACATAAATAGTCCGTGTTTGTAACAGCAGCAGTAAGATGGGATTTGCCTGTATCCAGCATTACATTCACTGATGTTTCGGCGCAGAGTGGCCAAGTGACTCCAAGTGACAGACTGAACCGTTTCAGCCACACGGTACTGTGTCCTGATGCTAGGTGAGACAGCAGTGCTCCCACACTCAGGAGAAAACTAGGACCTTCCCCCTAGGTGCTTTATGCTCCCAGCCTCTTTATTTCTGTAGGTGTTCCATCCTAAACACTCTTCCTCTTCCTGCTCATTGTCTTCATCCTCCCCACACCCCCACGCACGTGGCTCTGGATCTCCTCATCATGTTCTTCTCGTTAAAAACCCCATTGTTCATTTGTTTGTTTGTTCT